CAGACAAACATTGACCCGTACCTGGAGAGAAATGGATCCATACTACATTATTAGAACCTGCCGTGCATTCCGGAGAAGCATCCCCCTTTTGAATAAATAAAAAAAACTCCAAAACCCCTCACCATCCCTCTCAAACCCCGAGTTCAGATTGACGGTGACGAAATCGAGGTGGTCGATGAGTTCGTGTATTTGGGCTCACTGGTGACTGCCGACATTGATACCAGCAGAGAAATTCAAAGACGCATTATGGCAGGGAATCGTGCCTACTTTGGACTCCGGAGGACGCTCCGGTCGAATAAAATTCGCCGCCGCACGAAGTTGACTGTCTACAAGACGCTGATTAGACCGGTGGTCCTCTACGGCCACGAGACCTGGACTATGCTCGTGGAGGACCAACGCGCCCTTGGTGTTTTCGAACGGAAGGTGTTGCGTACCATCTACGGTGGAGTGCAGATGGATGACGGAACGTGGAGGAGGCGAATGAACCACGAATTGCACCAGCTACTGGGAGAACCATCCATCGTCCATAATGCAAAAATTGGGCGACTACGGTGGGCTGGGCACGTCGTAAGAATGCCGCACGACGACCCAGTGAAAATGGTTCTAGAAAGCGACCCAACAGGAACAAGAAGAAGAGGCGCGCAGCGGGCAAGGTGGATCGACCAAGTAGAAGGTGACCTGCGGACCCTTCGCAGACTACGAGGCTGGCGAACTGTGGCCATGGATCGAGTAGAGTGGAGACGACTTCTTCGGACAGCAGAGGACAACAAGGCCTTAGCCTGATTGGTAAGGTAAGTATCCCTCTCAAACGGGGGAGTTTGGTAAAGAAAGATGATTATCTCGATTCGTACCTTCCTCAAAGTTGTTCTTGCTCGCTTTCTCTCTATATACAATTTTCACACTGCTGTACTCTAACGGAACTATCAACTCTATACTTTCATCGCCTCATCTATCGTAAACAATTACCACTTTATGTCTGTTCTTTGATACTTGGCATCTTCAACCATGTAAAATCGTTTAGGTTCTACAAAGGGTCAATAATGTGTTTACTTCTTCTTTTTGAAATATTCCTCGATCATCATTTTCTAAATGTATGGGTAAAATTCATTGGAATTGCATGTCCCCACGCCAAAACTGCCCATGTTTCATAAATATCAACTGGTATGGTGAGGAAAATTTAACCATCTCTTTTCTTCCTTCATTTTAATACAACAGCAAATCTCGATGAACATTTCAAAAGATCCTATCTGCTTTGATCGATTCTCTTCATCGACTTTCTCTTTTGATAACCACGCCTACGCAAACATATTTCGTGCTCTTTTTGCCACACAGTTCGATAGCAGAAGTTATTGTCTTGCGTTTAGAACTTTGAAAACAGCTAGGAATGCTTTTGAAATTGAGTTATTAACGAAAGAGATGCAGATAGGACCTTTTGAAATGTTTATCTAGAAATGTGATGTCACACTATCTAAGTGCATAAGAATGTAGCAGACTTCGCTATATGCAAGTTTGTTTACACCCGTGAGCGGGAAAGCGAATACCAGGCTACGTGCACTGCTGCCATCAACCCTGTTAGTGTTGAATTCAATCTTCTGTGGCTTTTTAAATTGGACCGGTAAAATGCCTAGAATGGTCGTTTTTGTTTTATTTACTCAGTTTCTTATATTTATTCACCATTAAATACATCCATTCATCTATATTTATGAGTCAAACTTCACAATTGCTTGTTTTAATAAACTTAGATCCATTGCTAGAGGCAATACATCTGGCAACGCTTTTTCAATGATACTTTCACGATTGCCTGTAGAGCAGTAAAGTTGAAGTGGTTTTCTTGGTGTTCAATTTTGTTCACCAAGAGTTTTGAGTAGCAGTTGTTTTGGATTGTGTGTTATTGTGCTAAGCTTCGAAGAGCACAAGTAAGTAAATACAGTGAATATGTTTTACCCAGGAAATTTTCGTTCTAAAATCATGAAATACAAGTGTTAAAATTTGTATTAATAATATGAGAATGTATGTGTAAACCAATGATGATGATTCAAGAATATTTCAAAAAGAAGACGAATACAAATTTAATTACCCTTTGTAGAACCTTAACTTCACGCAGAAGTAATACAAACATAAATATTGTCAAAGTACAATCAGTGTTTGGTCCCAATTAGCTCAAATCCCATATGGTACGTGTCGTCGTTAATGCCGGATCGACCGTACTATAGGAATCCAGTGGCATCAGTACTATAGGGAATCCGGCAAGTACGAATCCGTACTATAGGAATCTTGACTGTATATTAGGGTGGGTCACTTTTATATGGAAAAAAGCATACTTGACCTCATCAAGCGAGAGCAACCTTTTTTTGGTTCCATTTGGGGTCCCAAGCAACTGTGAAACATTTGGGGACGATTGGTTATCACCGGGTTTCCGCATTGCGTTTGAAATTTGTATGGGAAAACCTAGTTTTTTTGCATTTGCATCCCTAGGGACCACAATTTTGAACCATGCAACTAATCATGTTCAAATATAGTCCAGGAAGTAACTAAAAACTTTGTTAAACAAAGTACAGTGCTAGAATGTATCTAAAAAAAGTTATAGCCGTTCAAATATTTACGGTTTGAATTAAATGCCAAAAATCACTTTTACTGCCAACACTGCCGGTCAGATAATAATTTCGGAGTATCTCATCTCATCGACTTTGTATGTTCAGATGAATTATTTAATTATTCAAAAACAATCTATCTATCTCATATGCGCAGTTGGAGAAGGGGGCAGGCTTAGGACCCCCTCCCCACGCTCCCTTCACTCATATGAATCGAAGTAAAGATGCAAACTGATATATCGTCGGAATTTCTTATCTTATTAATTTGGTATGTTCAGAAGAATTATTCAAAAATAATTGCTAAGCATAGTTTGGGAGAGGGGGGGGGAGGTTTTACCTCCGCTCCCTTGACTCATATCAATGGAAGTAGAGCTTCAAACTGAAATAACTTCGGTGTTTCTCATCGTGTCGAGTTGGTATGTTCAGATGTGTTCTTCAAAAATATTTGCTCAATCTAATTGGGGAAGAGGGGGGGGGGGACTTACTGTATCCCCTCCAACACTCCCTGATATCAATGAGAGTAAAGTTACAGACTGAAATATTTCGGATTTTCCCATCTTCTCGAGATAGTATGTTTCGGATGGGTTATCCAAAGACGTTAGCTCAATCTCATAGGAACACCCTTATCTTTTGGTGTAATATACAATGTTAGATGTTTGCACACAAATAGCATAGGATTATAATGATTTTATTTCAGTTTATTATATTTTACGATTTCTTAGGGTACTATTTTCGATGTTGGTCGATCACCAGGAGCAAATATTGCTGTTGAACTGCCACCCGCGATTTCATGTTGAAGTCTGAAATTAGCTTCACCCCTCGTTCAGCCACATCGTTGACAACCATCAAGGAAGCAACTCGTTGTTTAGCATTGATATAAACTGTATCATTACTCCACTCGTTTGCCGGTTTTTGCATGAAGCCGGTCGAAATTTGTATGATTTCAAAAAAACTCCTTCGTGTTAGCAGTGACAAACGTTGAAAGCGTATCAGATGGTCTGATGCTGCCTGCTCTAGTCGGCGTCGTTTCGGCTATCTTTCGCTTTCTATAGTTATTTTCTTAGCAATTTTTTTAGAAAGATAAGCTTCTTTCATTTCATCCTTCTCTTCAGCTCTTACGGTATCATCGAAGAGCCCATCAACTCATGAACCCGGGGCCAAAGGGATCCCCCTGTGATCAGAGATATTATGCCTCAGATTATGGCGCCGACTGGGATTGAACCCAGGCCTGCTGGGGTGAGAGGTAATCACGCTTACCACTACACCACCGGCGCCGATTAAAATTGAGCAATTGTTTTTGAATAATTTATCTGAAAATAACAAAACGATAAGATAAGAAACTCCAAAGTTAGAAATTTGATTGATCCTTTACTTCCATTGATATTTCATTTATGAGTGAAGGAGCGTGGGAGGGTAAACTCCCCCTCCTTTCCATCTACGCATATGAGATAAAACTATTGTTTTTGAATAATTCATCTGAACATACCAAATGGAAAAGATGTGAAACTTCGAAATTATTTCAGTTTGGAATCTTACTTCCAATGTTACACCGGCAGTGTTGGCAGGAAAAGTGATAACTGGCATTTAACTCGAAACAACAATCTTTGAACAGCTGTAACTTTTTTTTAGAGACATTCTAGCACCGTACATCCTTTGGAAAAGTTGTTAGGCACTTCATGAACTATACTTTTTACTATACTTTATACTGATTAGTGGCATGGTTCAAGCTAAATTGTGGTCCCTAGGAATGCAAATTCAAAAAAGTAGGTTTTCCCAAACTAATTTCCATATAAATTCAAACGCAATGCGGAAAGCCGGGTTAAAAGCAATCATTCCCAAATTTTGCACAGTTGTTTGGGACCCCAAATGGAACCAAAAAACATTGTTCTGAAAAAATGATCATGTTGACCCACTCTACTGTATAGGGTTTTGATCTAATTTCCGTCTTACTAAGAACAACACGCGCTTTACCTCTCTTTTCTGAACGAATTTTAACCAAAAATCGAATATTTCTGTCAAAGATGACTTCTTATCCACCTTTCCATACGTACCGTTGGATTTGATAAAGAGTCACACATTGTTGAGATATTGTTCAAAATCTAATACTGCTTCTTGATTCTAAATTCGTTCTACGGATAAACGTAGAAAATGGGGATTCGCTAGGAGCGCTTCTTTTGTTTTGAGAACAATGAGCGTAAATATTCATACAATGCGCTCTAATAGAGTTTATGTTGTAGCTAATGAACTAACGCATCGGAACAAACCTTAGATTGATTCGTACACGGTGAAATATTGATATTATTGATCTTTTCTGATCGATAGAACGGAAATGGGCGATTACGACGAAGTAGCGCTCTAACCTATATATATATATATATACTATACTACCCCGCCAAGAACCGAACTTACCCAGCTGTGACTTCTTCACCTCCTCGTTGTAGCTCTTCTGCAGAGCCAGTTCGCCTTCAAGTTTGGCCAACCGTCCGTTCGAGGTCATTTTACCGAGCTCTTCGTTCTCCTGGTAGAGCAGCCGGCACTTGGCCATCAGCCGTTTGCCCGTGTTGGAGTCTGGTGTAAACTTCCAAGCCGACAGCTCGTTCTGTGTCTCCTCCAGCTTGGCCTTGGTCTGCTGGAGTTCGCTTTTGAGCTTCTGAAAGAGTATGTTGACGGCCGGATCGAGCAGAGCAGATCGAAGCGCAGCTTGACCCGGTGCCTGGGCAGTCTTAAGCTCGGCGATTTGACTCTGTGGTAGCAGAACGAAAAATCATGTTGCAAATCATTACATAGAGAAGTAGGAGCTACGATGCAATTCTGATCGGTACACAAACTTACGGCAAAGTCCTGCATTTCTTGTTCCTTGACGGCAAGCCGTCGGGCGAGGATCCGTTCCCGGCGTTGAGATTCGGCATACTGTTGTTTGAGTTTACTTTCCGAATCTTTGAGTGATTGAACTTCTTCTGTAAAGGGGTGGGAGAAAGTGGATTACGATGTTAGTCATTTCGGTACGGCTTGTGGTCAACTTCTTTAAGAACAGCTACCTAGATAGACAAAAAAAACAAATTTTGGGGATGGTTTCTGAGTGTTGGTGTAGTAGTTGTTGTAGACAACAGTGTGGTGCAAATATGTTCATGGCTTTTATTTGTCATGCATGTGCCCGCTCAAGGCTGCCAAGCAGTTTTGGTAATATCGAAGGTAGATTAGAAAGTGACATCGATAGCGAAAATATAGTCTAGTGGATATTAGGACGCATGTGAACCTCGACAGGTTAAAATTGGCCGGAAACATAGCAAGGATGGCTAACTCGATATTGGAGGAAGTTTAGGAGAATATTGAGTAACGGAGGTAAATGTATAAGTTTTGTAAACGAGTAGCGTAGATTTTCTTCTAGTTAGAGATAATTACACTGCCTATAATCGCATATCAGTCCCATATGGAAAAAGTAGGCATGGGTCGAATCTAGCTTCGTGCCACTATTCAAATGCTGTCCTGGAGTGGTACGAAGCCAACGGGGTCACTTTCGTACCCAAGGACATGAACCCCCCCAACGCACCGGAGCTAAGGCCCATAGAAAAATATTGGGCCATTATGCAGCAAGCACTACAGAAGCATCCCAAGGAGGTCAAATCTGAGGAATACATGAAGAAAAAGTGGGTTTCCGTACAGAAGAAGCTGCAGCCAGATGTTGTACAGAACCTAATTAGTGGAGTTAAGCGTAAGGTACGAGCGTACGGTTGTGGTATTGAAGTTGCATGAAATAAATATGCCAAAAGCTTACTAATGGGCTATATTTTATTGTCTGAAAGTTTGAAAAGGATCGCTCAACTAGGTAATTTTCTACAGCGTTTTTCCGTGGTGCAATTTGATGTGGGACGCCCTTTAATAAGCCCAAAAGGGTGGGTCAACTTAAAAACCGCTGCTCCCCATTACTCTTTCGACCTATATTGAGGTTCCCAACAACTGTGCCAAATTTGAACGAATTTTGTTAGGGGCTGTTCATAAACGGGGGGTTGATATTATCCACGGTCCATACAAATATTAAAAAAATTGTATGGACAATTGTCTACGAAGGGGGGGGGGGGGTCTCAAGAATCCCAAAAAGCTGTCTACGTAGTTTATGAACAGCCCCTTATGATTTGGATGTGCGGGAGAACTTTCACAAATTTCTTTAAATAGCCTAAACTTGAGACACGGAAAAATTATGCAGAACAACTTTGTCGAAAACCATAAATCGATTCGATACAAACTTCATAGTGACCAGCAAATCCCGATTAGTAATTTCCCCGGCTGTGCGATACACATTTAGTGCATGATGCATGATATTTGTCGAGCGCTCATTTTTTTGTCATTAATTTATTTGGTAAGGCTCAATTGAATTAACTTTACAGAGCCGAGGATTCTTGTTCACTATACAACGCATCTTAAAACTATACACACTTAGAAAAAATCACCGACTTCGGTAATTCATTTACCGAATTCTCAACAGCTGAACGGTCGGTAATGTTTTCGGTAATCGAGAACATTACCGAAAAATCTGTAAACTGGATCAGCAAAATTAGCTGTCAAATTTACCGAACGATCGGTAACATTTACCGATGTGCATTGCTTGATTTGTAGTCGACTTTACCGGAGAACTGTAATTTTGAGGACGATATGCAAATCGAAAATTACCGAGAGATCTGTAATTTTTTAAAAAGGTTACCGACTCAACTGTAATTTGCTTTAATATTGTTTCAAGGTGGCGGTCACTGCAACCCATGTACACATTTGGCTGCTGTCGTGATCAATAAGTTAAAGGGTGATACGGTCAAAATTTGGTCAATATCAACTTGACGTATTTCTTTCAATTTTGCATTTAAAAAACCTGAACACCCCTCATTTTGAAGGTGTGTGTGTGTAGAATGTTGCTCCTATTTTGATTTTGGAATTCACTCTTCAGTTGTCAAAATGCCGTCCAAGCAAGAAGAGCAGCGTATCAAAATTTTGCTCGCGCATCGCGAAAATCCGAGCTACTCGCACGCAAAGTTGGCAAAATCGCTAAAAGTTGCCAAATCAACCGTTACAAATGTAATTAAAGTGTTTGGGGATCGTTTGTCGACAGCCAGGAAGTCTGGATCGGGGGGAAATCGAAAACCGGAAGCCGCTGAGACGACAAAGAGAGTTGCCGGTAGTTTCAAGCGAAACCCTAACCTCTCTCTCCGAGATGCCGCAAATAAGCTGGGTGTATCGTCTACAACCGTGCATCGAGCCAAAAAACGAGCCGGACTATCGACTTACAAGAAGGTAGTGACTCCAAATCGCGATGATAAACAAAATACGACGGCCAAAGCGCGATCCCGGAGGCTGTACACGACGATGCTGACGAAGTTTGACTGCGTGGTAATGGACGACGAAACCTACGTCAAAGCCGACTACAAGCAGCTTCCGGGACAGGAGTTTTATACGGCAAAAGGAAGGGGAAAGGTAGCAGATGTTTTCAAGCACATGAAACTGTCAAAGTTCGCAAAGAAATATCTGGTTTGGCAAGCCATCTGTACCTGTGGCTTGTAAAGCAGCATTTTCATAGCTTCCGGGACTGTCAACCAAGAAATTTACGTGAAAGAGTGTTTGAATAAACGTCTGCTGCCTTTCCTGAAGAAACACGGTTGTTCCGTACTGTTTTGGCCGGATTTGGCATCTTGCCATTACGGTTTAAAAGGCCATGGAGTGGTACGCCGCCAACAACGTGCAGGTGGTTCCCAAGGACAAGAACCCTCCCAACACGCCAGAGCTCCGCCCAATTGAGAAATACTGGGCTATTGTCCAGCGGAACCTAAAGAAGACCAAAAAAACTGCTAAGGGCGAGCAGCAGTTCAAGGCAAACTGGCTTTCTGCGGCGAAGAAGGTGGACAAGGTGGCTGTACAAAATCTGATGGCAGGGGTCAAGCGTAAGGCCCGGCAATTCGGATTTGGAAAAGCGGAAGCCTAACTGAATATTTTTCCTGAATTTTATACTAATTGAACTTGAAAAAGAAATTTAATTTGATTTTTTAAATAAACGATTTCACCGATTTACACGCGTTTTCCCTTGACCAAATTTTGACCGTATCACCCTTTAGTGTTGCAAATTGCACCACCAATGAACAAAACCGTTTTTGACGGAAGGATTCGGCGCTACACTGAAAACAAGGAAGCTTTGGAAGAATATTCCAAATGCTGTTTTCAGATCGTCGCCAACGGGAATGGAACTTGGACCGACAGAAAAAAAACAAGCAACAACATCAGCCATCTGTAATCGGTATTTATTTAGATAACGAAAATTAATTATTTACGGAAAATATGTACGATTCACTCATTTTGGTGTTGTATAACAGCCGCCATAATTTCACCATTTTATTTTCCACAAGCACGAACGCTTTTAAAGTTGATCGAAAATAACAATATGGTGGATTTGACGTTTACCTAGACCATTGCCGAACTCAGTAATGGAACGCTTTGTTTACCGAAACTTCAGTAAAATATTTCACCGAGGTCAGTGGTGAAGCTGATTTACAGACCTGCCGGTAAATTTTTTTACCGTTTTCGGTAAATTAAAATGAAATTACCGAAATTCGGTCATTTCATTTACAGTTTTCAGCAATAAAGCGAGAAAATACCGAAACATCTGTAATTTTTAGCATTACCGATCTAAGACGGTAATTTTTTTTACCGAACTCAGGGTCTCTGTTTAAGTATGTAGTCAAAAGGTACAACACAATAAACACTTTATCTTCCACTATGCAATAAGCCTCCTCCATCAAAACGGGAGCCACTTCCAATGGTTTCATTGAAAGTCAGTATCGCCAACGGGGGTCAGAGCGCTTCCATTGCAGCAATGGACGTAAAACGTGTTCAGCACTCACACACTCATCGCGAAACGGTTGCTTTCCAAAGTCGACGACGCATCGACCGAACGAACTGCTGATGAAGAACAATGAGGAGGATAACACAATGGCTGCTGCCGAGTAAACAGACGATCGCGTGACGCACATCGACAGTGGCCTGCTTCTGTCGACAGCTGAGTGAACACTGATCTACCACTCATTGTAGCACGGAAACTAAGTCCGATAGCAGCGGGTGCTCCTCACTATTTGATTTCATCAAGCTTAATAACCTCTGATTGTCGTCAATATAACCCTGTATGAAAGACCAAAAACGGGTTAGGTGGATCCATAAACCAAAGGAACCTATACGTCTCCACTGAAAAGTAAAGAATCTCCTTCCAGCAGTATGATCAAGGAATCAAAAATATCTCCAATGACAAAATGACAAGCGATCATCGAGTCGAACGATAACGCTTTGTCAGAAACGGAAAGCAATATTGATATAATCTTCTTCTTCTTTTTCATGACACAGCTCTCTTGGACCGGTCGAAGGAAGCGACCAAATTGTTGACAAGCTGCTTCACGAAGTAAAGCCGAAGGTGATACACGTGTGGTAATCAGGGTTGCCAAGTGATTTTTTGAAAAATCTGGCTGTGTAGAATAAAAAGTCTGAATTTGTCTGGATTTTCTTGACGATGAAGATTTTTATTATAGGGTGTCCCAGAATGTCTAAACACGATTAAAAAAAAAACGATAACGTAACTCTGTTTACAGCAAATTCGATTATTATTTAACATAGAAAATCCGAGATCCGATCAGTCGTAAGCCAAATTTTGGATCTCACGCTACTCATTAGCTTCAGCACAGATGCGTTTCCAACAATTTTGGCTACTTTCTCCCAGTCTTTAGCAAACTTTGTAACGGAATCCGCTGCCTTTACATGTTTCCGCAAATATGCTTTGGTCAGGGCCCAAAAAGCTTCGATTGCCCTGGCCTGGATACAGTTTGGCGGATTCATCTCCTTGGGAATAACGATTTGGACCTTGTTGGCTTTATACCAGGCTACCGTGTCCTTGGAGTAATGAACCGACGCCAAATCCGGCCAAAACAGTACTGAG